CCATGTGCCGGGTGCACACTGCAGCCTGTCAGTGACAGGGCGGTGGCGTCAGCATTGTCTGTAGGTGCACGGGGTCAGGAATTCATCCAGGTGCTTCCTGGAACAGTCCAATCGTGATCATCATGCTTTGTTAACTCTGAAGGGATAGATTTGTGAATTTGGTCTCAGGTGAGGGACTGCACATTCATCCTCATCCACATGCCCAAGCTGTTGTTCCTGGAAGAAACGCAAGGGGATGTGGTAGAGGAAAAACAGGAAGAAGAAGAAAGGAAGCTGTTCTTTCTGCTCTCCTGGTTTACTTGGGATCGAGCTGTGTGGGGAGGTGTGAGGGCACTGGGGTCACCAAAGACTAGACCCACCAGAGAGCTTCTCAGTCACGTCAGACCTGTCCTTTCCATTTGTCGATTCTCATGCTCCTAATAGAATAGCAGAGTGGCTTGACCTCCATCACAGCCTCCTTCCCTCTTGAGTGGTGGGAATGGGCTTCTGGAGGACTTCCCTCCTGCTAGCCAGACCCCAAGCTCCTTCAGAGCTACACAGAGTTCTCTGCTCACTTTGTCTCCTTCGGGGGACCTCCCAGGCACACTCGACACTCGTGTCACACCACGTGTAGCTCCTTAGTAGTAGCTCAGTAAGTGTTGTTTTTAGCTCTGGGCTCTTTTGAAAGTTCTCGCTCCCGCTTTTCATTTTCCTTCTTGGTTTCTTTATCCCACTCTCTCTTGAGTTGATTTTTTAAAAATGGGAAATTAGATTTCATACCAACTATTTCTGTAATTAAAAACAAATGTTTCTATCATTAAAATGTTTCTACTACCAAATGTTTACTACCAAATGTTTCTGTAATTAAAAGCCCAATCTTCATCTCCCTGTGTGTTCCTTTAGAACACATCTCAGCCTTTAATACAGTTAGCTCACATGTTCTGTGCTCTTCTTATGAACGATCTCAGAACTTGAGGGTGTGGCAGAGATTGGGTTGGAGGAGGAGAAAAGAGCACATTGTGATGGAAAGCGGGGCTGCTTTGGTTCTCCCCTTCATCCCTCACCAGTAGCTCTTTTTTTTTTTTTGCGGTACGTGGGCCTCTCACTGCTGTGGCCTCTCCCGTTGCGGAGCACAGGCTCCGGACGCGCAGGCTCAGCGGCCATGGCTCACGGGCCCAGCCGCTCCGCGGCATGTGGGATCCTCCCGGACCGGGGCACAAACCCGCGTCCCCTGCATCGGCAGGTGGACTCCCAACCACTGCGCCACCAGGGAAGCCCACCAGTAGTTCTTGAAGTACTTCCTACTATGGACCCGATTCTACTGTGCAGGACATTCAGAGAACAAGATATGCCTCCGATATCAAACCTCTACAGACTATGCAGGAATAAAGGGGTGCTTAGAATAGGGAACTGGAGCTAACATGAATAACGAGGCGGCTGGGAGAGCAAAGATCTGGGAGGCCGCAGCCGGAGAATCAGAGAAATTCGTCCCCAATGATGGCAGCCTGAGCTGCCATCTGGAGAAGAAGCTAGGTTTATGCAGAGTCCAAGAATCTGCTGCATCCATCCGTGCCCACAGCCTCTGAACGGGAACTTACGGAGTGTCTGCAGTTTCCTTGTCTAGCTATTATGGTCTCCTGAAAATTACAGATTTTGTTTCACTTGCATCTTCTTTTTTAATTTAATTTTAAACATTTATTTTATTCAAGTATAGTTGATTTACAGTGTTGTGGTAATCACTTTCATCTTCTGAGTTTCCCATTGGCAAAGTAGCTGGGACTATGT